GACCCTTAATTGAGAAAATACCTCTATAAGGCTGACCTGCAGGCAAGTGTGTAGGGCATTTTCAGTGATTGATGGGAGAGGGCCCAGCCCATTGTGTATGGTGCCATCCCTGGACTGGTGATCTGGATTCTAAAGAAAGCAGGCTGAACAAGCCATAAAGAATAAGTCAGTGAGCAGCATCCCTCCGCGGCCTCCTCATCAACTCCTGCCTCGAGGTTCCTGCCCTGTCTAAGTTTCTGTCCTGGTTTATGTCAATGACGAACAGTGATATTGAAGAGTAAGCCAAATAAACCCCTCTCTCCCCAGGCTGCCTTAGTCACAGTGTTTCATCACAGCAGAAGTAACCCCGATTAAGACAATGTCCCTGAGTGCCTCTGAGTCAGTTCATGGAGTATGACCATGGAGCTCCACACACGGCATCTGAGCCCCTTGAGCATACACGGTTTAACATCCTTTCCCACTAACTTCTGTGAGGAGGCCATGACTCAGTTTTCTATCCCCAAACACTGTCACTTTTATAATACCATCTGGAATTTGGCCTCCCTTCCCACCTCCACCCTTTAGCCAATTCTGAATTACTGCTGGTGGCATCAAGTGGCAACAGGTCTGGCCCTTCAGTGTCATTACAAGAGAACTTTGGTCAGTCTAGCCAGATAGCTCCTATTGACTCCCCACACTCCCGCACTATACATAGGTGTAGTATGATGTTTTGCATGCTTCTGCTCTGGAATTTCCCAGGCAAAGGACATAGAAAAGGCAGTAAGCAGAAAACAACAGTGATTTCTGCTAGTAAAATCTTGAGGTTAGAACTCAATGGCTCAGGTCCCCAACCCTGCTCTCTGAACAAGTAAGCATGGACCTGACATAAGTTGTTTGCCATTCAATTTTGTTTCCTATGAAATGAGTCAATGGCAAGATGCAACTCTACCCCTCAATTTTCTGAGGAAAAATGAAATGTTGAAAGAAAGTCAAACCAGAGCCTCCTGCTGTGTGGAAGGAATGATCTGGGATAATTTTGCCTATAAAGTAGACTCATGCCAAGGGCTGCTCTCAGTGAAATACTTCTTTCTGCAATAGTTGGGGAACGTTCTATCAAAAGGGCATATTAATATGTATAAATTATGCTACTGTGTATATGTTTGCTGTTGTAGAATCACCAGTTCGTGTAAGCATAAAAAAATGGCAGTTACTCCTAGGGGAACATACTAGTGGATAATGTTGGAGAGGTTAACAACAGTGTGGGGAGCTGGATAGGCAGGTCCAAACATGCTGCTGGCCTGCTTGCTGGCCAAGCCTAAAAGGGTACTTCTTGGGTGTCAGTAAGAAAAATTGGAATGATTTTTTATTATTTTCCCTCTTTCTGGCTGTCTCAGGCAAGAAATCATGGATAAGTCTACACAGAGAAGTTCAAAGAGGATGCTTTAGCATCTCTAGGGCCCTTATCACTCTTTAGACTGTTCTATTGGCATAAAACATTTGGCAAGACCTGAAGATCCCAACAGAAGAAACACCTAGTCAGAGAGAGGAGGGGGCATGTGAATATACATGTACCATTGCATGCATGCATGCGTGAGTGTGTTTGGGGTGTATCATGTGCCATTTCCTTTTCATTCAAACCTAGACTATCAAGAAGAAACTCCTGTTGCCATTTGAAGGTCACCCCTGCTGCCCTCATTCTAGAGAGTTCAGAGAAGGTGTCTTTAGGAAGCAAATGAGCCCAATGTGCCCTCTATTCTAACTTTAAGGCTTCAGTGTTGTTGCCCATTAACCTTCTTTGTGTTGAAAATATTCTTCCTTTTCATCTCCCATGATGTCTCAGAATTATATTAATTAGGCAAAAAAAGATCAAGAGTATTTGAGTTTATACATGCCAACTACAAAGACATGTTCATATAAAACGTTCTGTGAAATTTTACCTTCATGGGGGGGGGGTGAGGCCATGCATGGCTCAGTGTTTAAAGTACTTACTGTGTGAGCATGAGGGCCTGAATTCAGATCACCAGTACTCACTCAGAAGGCCAGATGCAGCAGTGTGAGCAGTGTGCATCTACAATGGCAGTGTTGAGGGGGTAAAGACAAGCAGATTCCTAGATCTCACCCAGCAGCCAGTGTAGCCAAATTAGTGAATGTCATGTCTGGAGAGAGACGCTGCCTCAAAAAATAAGGTGGAGTATGATGGAGGAGGATACCCATTGTCTACCTCTAATCTTCACGTGCATGAATATGCACATGCATGTATACCAACATTCACTGTGCATACACATAAACATGCACACATACATTACACAAACACAAGAAATTTTGCATTCATATAGGAAGATGAAGTTTTATTGAATGGTTGGAATTCATGAATTAAAGATGATAATATCAATAAAACCAATTCTCTACTCTCATAATCTTAGGCTTTTTTTCCCCAATATGGTCCTAGATGACTACAGAGTTGTAGTGAGAGATTGCTCTGCTCACAGCCAATTGAACCTCCATTTATATTTTTAGACAGCCTTCTTCTAAAGTCAGTTACTGCTTTCTAGGTGACCAGATCATCCACTGTGCACACCTCTGGTTCTCAGGTTGTGGTGGAACAGATGTCTCTAATTTGGTCAAATCACCAGAGCTGATTCTAGCATGGAAAATAAGTGAAGGGCATGTTTTCTCCTTCCAGGAAATAGCAATGAGTTGCCCTTATTCCTGGAAATAGTCGCACAGCTTATATCCTACTAGGAAACAGGAATCTGCAGCTCATGAGCCAGCTGTTGAAGAGGCAGTTGTTTCTCCTGGGTGGTGTCCTTTAGAGCAGGAGCACCATGCTCCCTTCTCATTCTGATCTACCCAGCCTTCCCTCCCCAGTAGAGACACAAGGCCTGCTTCCCAGATGGATGTGCTGACAAATGCTTGTCAGGTGGATGGACTTCATGTTGGTCCTCTCTTAACCAAAGAGAACTGTGGGAGGCTGACGGAGATGCCTGATTATGTCACTGGTAATGGCCATGGTCTTGAGCATCACCAATGAAACTGGCTTCTAAAAAGAAGCTTTGTATTGCTGAGAGTGTGGCTCAGTGTTGAGCACTTGCTTAGGACATGTGAGACCCTGATCTCCATCCTGCATACCAAAATAAATATAAAAATTAGTTTTTAGGCAAAAGTTAAAACGTCAGTTAAATGCTTGACCAGAAGCATCTTTTTTTTTTTGAAATAGATATTCTAAATTGCAACAGAGAATCCTCTAATGATTCCAAAATGGAACGTGCTTCCTTTTTACTGGGGCTAGATAGTTCAGAGTGCCAGGATCTTTTTTGTTCTTGTGTGTCCTGCATGGCCCAACACAGTTCTTTGTTCATAGTGGCTCCCATCAGACTTCACAGACTTCAATTCTCCATTAACAGACCTAACATCTACTTGGGCACATGGAAGATATCTGTTAAAGTAGATCTTGGCAATCTTTTCTTTCTTTCTCTCCTTCTCTCTCTCTCTCTCTCTCTCTCTCTCTCTCTCTCTCTCTCTCTCCCTCCCTCCCTCCCCCCCCTCCCTCCCTCCCTCCCTCCCTCCCTCCCTTCCTCCCTCCCTCCCTTCTCTTCTTCTTTCTTATTTTTTTCAAGACAGGGTTTCTCTGTGTAGCCTTGGCTGTCCTGGAACTAGCTCTGTAGACCAGGCTGGCTTCAAACTAACAAGAGATCTGCTTGCCTCTACCTCCCCAGTGCTGGGATTAAAGGCCACCACTGCCTGACTTCAGACCTATAGCATATTTCCTCAGACCTTCCAGCAAACACAGGCTTTCACCTTGAAGAGTTATTTCGCACAGAAATGCGTCATCAACAGAAGATCAGTTACTGAGTTTTTCAGGCAGAGGACAATGCCAGGAGGTCCCAGGAGACCTCCCAATTCAGATCCCTTTAATAGAAACCTCCAAATCAAGGGCAGATCCAAGTCTTTTCAGGTCTCATTTGGGGTCATGGAGGAGTCATGCAAGTAAAAAGTTCTGAAGCTGAAGTTCTACCATCTTCTTGGTACCCACACCTCTGCCCTCGCCTAGGGCACTGCATCCTAGTGTGCTGAGCCTCCCCAGAGATGGTCCCTAACTTGCAGACGACCACTCCCTGAGCGGCAGACCGAAAATGGGCCCCAGTTTTTGGATTCAGAAAGGTCTAGTCTCAAACACCGTTCTCACCAATCCATTGCTCTGTGCTCTTGAGAAAACAAATGAACAAACAACCTCAGAATGCTTCAGGTTCCCTACGTAGAATGTATGTCTTTTATGTGTGTTGCAGGGATTACAAAACCCCATGGCATGGCATATTCGCAGTCCATGGCACTAGTGCGAGGCAGCAGCCTAGGGGAATAAAGTTAGATGTCTGGGGCTGGTATTCTTGAAAGGAATATTGGGCTCCAGTTTCTTCTCTTTTCTCTGTCTCCATCTCTCTCCCGGGAGCCTTCTCCACTGCACACTCCCACTGTGATATACCGCCTCACCATAGGCCCAAAAACAAGACAGTCAAGCAGTCATGAAAGGAAACTTCAGAAACCTTGAACTAAAAGTCCCTTCCCAAAAGCCGGGCATCTCCTGTCTGGCATTTTTTCACAGTGCTGCAATGCTGACTAATGTACACTGACAAGGTGCACTGTATCCAACACATGTGGGAAGTTGCATCCTCTTCACTTAGCGAATGAAGTTTCTGGTATCTGGTGAACATGATTTGCCTTATACAGAAGCAGTTAGGGATTAGTGTTAGCATTCATGAGTAAATAGCTTGCAAGCCTGCGTTCAAGGTGGTCTAACTGTATAAACACAAGACTCAAGACAGACTGGAATCCCACTTGTCCCAAATCAGTGGCTCACAGTTGTTTTTCTGCTTCAGCATACCCAAGGATGGAGCACTTCCCACTCACCATGAAGGTGGTCCATGGCAGCAGGAGCCAGCCAGTGGCAAAGCTCGTGGTGCCTGAAATGCACCATCCCCTCCAACATCTATCCCACGCGCTCTTCAAAAATTAAGACAAAATACTCAGTTTATCCAATTTATTTATTGGACCACAATGTTTTCATTTGCATAATGTAAAAATATACTTTAAATAAGAATACTCACAATTTACAATGTTAAAAGATATATATACATATATATATATGAAAGATTCATGAAGGAATTTGGAATAAAACATACATAGTATGCTATTTTAATATAGAAACACTTTAAAGAAAATAGTCATTACAAGTGTAGCATCACCAGGAATTTATAAAAGTTTCCACTTTCTTGAAGGTCACACTTCTCATCCTTTGGGATGTACAGAAATTATGTGGTTTACATAGTTCTATCCACATTTTAAAACATAATGTTTTAAATGTTTTAAGCATAGCATGTACAGTACACAGTGTTTCCATAGGAACATAACAGAAACTGTCACTAGTGGCCTGCTGTCAGGTGGCTCTGAGTGAATCGGCCATTTGTAAGACACTAGTCCAGTATATTGCTGTAATATTAAAGTTGTTCTATTCACCCAAAATATAATGAATTAAACTTATACTGGAGTCTACCCACCAGGGCTCAAAAGAGTTACCACATAATACACACCAATATATACACAGAACAGGTCTTCTGAGTTGAATGAAGTTCCCACACTTAAATAAGAACCGAGAATATGAGTTTTAGGTTAATATCTTGTAAGGGCTACTTTTAGCATGTCCGGCAAAGGGCACAGTGAATGGACTTGTCACCAGAATTGGTCCTTCCCTGAGCTCTTCACTCCCTCCCGTGCAATCCCACCACCTGAGAAATGAGAACCTTGGGGCCTTGGGACATGACAGAGTAGCTTCACAAAGGAGGGCATTGCAGGGACATTCATGTGTCACCAGAGGCCTCACTGCCTCCTGAAAAATGGGTACAATTCACTATCCAGAGCTGCTGTGCAGGGCCTGCAAAACCAACACCCAGGAGAGAAATGTCCATCCTAGTTTGTTGCCAACAAAGCCATCCATCAGCCATATTCCAGGGTTGGTGGCCCCCGAACAATATTGAAGTAGCCAGCCAGAGCACCGAGGTCTATGTAGAGGGAACGCTGTCTCCGGAGCACTTCAGACTCCTCAGTGCTACCCGTGCATGAAGAGTCTGCAGAAGGAACATGGAAACAACAAGAAAAACCAATGACAAAAATGACAGGGAGGCCCAGCAAGTAACAACTACATGTCCCTTCTGTGAAGAAACAACCCGAGAGACTCAAGAGACAGTGGCCCAGCTCTGGCTCTGTCACAGATAGCCTCAATGGAATAGCACATAGATCGTAGGGTTCCAATGGCCAGTGAAGACCAGGGATTGGGTAGAAATTCCGGCATGTTCTTCTGTATTTCATTTTTCCCCACTAGACACTGAGAAATTAGACAGGCATAAAGAAAAACATGAACTCCAGGCTTTACCTCTGAGTTTGGGTCTAAGTTTGTGCTACTGTCTGGGCAACCTTCCTATCTTAGCCTCTCAAGATGTGCCTGGTTCCTCTGGGGGTGCGTGCATGCATGTGTGCGTGTGTGCGTGTGTGCAATGCAGGTGACAGAACGCAGGCTTTGTGCCATGCCAGGCAAGTGTTCCGTGTCTGAGTTACAACCCAGCATCTGTTTTACATTTTATTTCAAGACAGTCTCACTAAGCTGCCTAGCATAGCCTTGAACTCACTCTGTAACCCAGGCAGGCCTTGATCTTGTGGTCTTCCTGTCTGGACCATCACATATATACATATGTATGTATGTATGTATGTATGTATGTATGCATGTGTATGTGTATATGTATGTATGTATGTATTGAGACAGGGTCTCAAGTAGTTGATGCTGAACTTGAACTTCTTAACTGCCCCATCCAAGTGTTGGGACTACAGGCATGTGTCACCATGCCTGGCCTTCATCCTCCACCCCATCCCCACCCCACACACAAGTGCTGCCATGACCACATCAGAGGTTTGCAGACAGGAGGAGGGAGGCCAGTGGTTGTACAGGCACACAGGCATACACCCATATGCACACAGTGGGGTGACCTACCAGCAATGTTCTCAGGAAGTTCCAGCTCCTTCCTGCTCAGCAGCCTCTTCCGTTCAAAGAGGGCAGAGTCCAGGCTCTGGCACCGTGGCTGGTCCTCTCTAGGGGGATTCAAGGCTTCGTGTTTCAGTAGGTCTGCTGCTCTCGGACGGTGGTTGGGGTTCCTCTCCAGGGCGGCTTCTATCAGCTCCCTCATGCCTGGACTGCAGTCACCAGCAATGTCTTCCAGGGGAGGTGCCTGCTTGTGGATCTGTCAACAGACCAGTTCTGTCAGCATGGATGGCACAGAGACATGCTCAAACAGTGAGGAGTGACCCCCATTGCATGACCCCTAGCAAATACCCTTCAACTTCCTCACAGCGGTTAAACCAGCTTTGGTTTAATGGCAAAAAGTACATTCTGGGTTTGAATTAGCAGTGACAGCTTCTCATGGGGGGACCACAGCTGGCTGCAGCAACAGGGAAATGCCTGCCTCTGTCTGGTTCCCACACCCTACTCTAGGACATGCTATTGGGCAGAAGGAAGGAGGTTTGGGAGTACAAAAAGTAATAACATATTTTCTTCTTTTAAAAAGACATCGTAAAGAACACACACACTTTCCTTGGCTCACAGAGTTGTAGGACTCTGATGTTTATAAGTGTGTTCTATCACACACAAGTAAAATGGGATAGCATACAAATTATATCTACTTCTTGTTTCAGACAGCTTCCATTAAAATAGACTTTCATTTTAATAATGGAATTGCAACCGTCTCTTGTGGGTCACAATTCTACCATCACTTCCTCTCTTTGGTGTGCTTTTGGGATGGTGGGACTCACTGCACCCCAGCCCAGCTGACCCTCACTTACTATGTACAGGTAGGAAGGATAGGCTGACCGAGGGTAGCGCTTCACCCAGGGTGGAGTGCCTGTCTGCATGTGGATGAGCGTAGCTCCAAGGCTGTAGATGTCTGCTTTTGTGGAATGGCCCCTGCACAGAATCACCTCGGGGCTCATGTATATCTGAAAAAAGACAAGGAAAGCATCATTTGCCTGGCTTCCTTCTCCCTATCTGGTTCTAGAAGCTGACTCCTTTGCCTTTGTGACATTTGCTGCATGCTCTAGAGGGAATGCTATCGCAATATCTCCTCAAGCCAAGGAGAATCCTGAGACATTCTCTAAAATACCTCTTTCCCACATAGCAGATCTGACCTCAAAGGGCTTCAACCTACTGATTCCCACTGATCTGAGTTCTGTAGAAGTTCATCAGTTATATACAATTGTCAATTAAATCACCAGTTCTCTTCAGACTTAAATGAGACTACACATATACTTCTCCCATTTATCATTTAATTGCCTAAAGGTGGCAGAATCCTGCAGGGTATCTATGTCAATGGTTTAGAAGGGAAGAGCCTGCAAAAATAAAGTGTAAAGCTTGGAAAATAACCCTAATGAGTCATTTATACATAACAAGTATCCCAGCGACTAAGCATCAAACGCCCTCTACAACAACAGAGTGTAAGTTCTGAGGTTGCAGCAAGAGTGTTGCCACAAGCTCAAGGACAGCCTGGGCTACAGACTGAGATCTTGTCCTAAAAATTTAACTAATAAACAAAATACAGCATAATTTGCATTAATTTCATAAGTCGGTGTTGAGTAAGTAGGGTAATTTTCTAAATGTTATTTTTCTAAATTTAAGATGGGAGAGGAAAACAGGAAAGCCCTAGCTACCAATAATCTGTAGTCAGGGCTGGCACAGACAGACGGCATTAGTACCCTAGTTAACAACACAGGCTGAACAGCTGTAATTTAAGGGTACAAAGGACTCCAAAACTGGAAGCTTTGAGCAGGATGATGCCACAAGTGGAAATTTCCACATATGACCTCATGTGAATGTCACAGTTAAAACACAGCCACACTGAGAATCCCCTGCTAGCTGTCTTTCAGGCTAATGAACCCTCTGCATCTACTTCAGTCCCATCCTCAGGATATTTCACAACACACAGATGTACCAAGATCAAGTCAAAGAAAAAAGAGTACGTGGAGGAACAGGAGAAGGGAGGAAGAAAAGAAAGAAGGAAGGGAAAGAAAAAGAAGAGGAGGGGGAGGAGAAGGGGGGGGAAGAGAGAAGTCCTCCTGTCCCAAGCCCTTCAGGTATGATATTTAACCTGCTTCAGCTTTCAAGAGTTTTTATGCTGTCATGAGAATATGAGGAAGGGGTTAGCATTCTCAGAATTCATTGCTGAGTAAATAAGTAGAAAAATTATCTTACAAAAAGTGGGGAAATTGCCCAGTTTCCCCATCTTAGCCTGCTCAACTCCTTCCCAAAACACACTTCCTTGTAGGCTTCCTTCTGCCCTCAGCAAGAAGGCTACACTGAGCTCTGTGTCCAACCACTTTCCCTGCAGACAATGAATAGCATGTGTCTCTCGACCTTTTTAATAACCACAATCTCAATCACAGGGTTAAAACATTGAATATCCAACGTTGTACACTATGGTCAACAAGGAGTTACACATCTACAACTTGCCAAGAAACTGGACTTCCTGTTGAAATGTCTTACCATAATCAAACACAGTTAAGAAATAAATGCTGTGTGCTTGCTGTCAGTAGAAGAGGTCTGCCTCCTCTTTCACACAGACTGGGGATGAAGTAAACCGTATGCATGGGTTCTACGTGCCTGCACGTCCAGCCTACGTTTGGAGCTGGCAGGATCAGCTGGTGGCCTGGGTGCAGGCCCTCTGGAACACAGCCAGGAGCTTCCAGCTCAAAGTTTCTTCCTCCTCGAGCTCCAGAAAGAACCAGACAGGCAGCTCAGAAAAGCCTGTCTTTGGGCTGGCTGCCTGGAAGGCTTGGGGCAGAACTGACAGCACTTGCTCCAGAGTTGTCTGCCCCCACTTCACCCCCACCCCCAGGAATGAGTGAAGTGCAGGAGAACTTGAAGTCAGAGTCAAGGCCTTTGTGGGGTTTTGTTTTTTGTTTTTTGTTTTGTTTTTTTTTTTTTTTTTTTTTGGTTTTTCGAGACAGGGTTTCTCTGTGGCTTTGGAGGCTGTCCTGGAACTCACTTGGTAGTCCAGGCTGGTCTCGAACTCACAGAGATCCGCCTGCCTCTGCCTCCCGAGTGCTGGGATTAAAGACGTGCGCCACCAACGCCCAGCCCAGCCTTTGTGTTTTATAGCAAGGAAAAGCGACTGTCATGGGTATGTCTGCATGAACACATGGGCACATCTTTATTCTATACTGACATATAAAAGTTAATACTAGAATCAGAAGAAAGTAAGAACTGTAAAAATAAAGAACAAAACCATAGCAAAATAATTCTTGGATGTTATTTATAGTTCCTATTTTTTTTTCTCTCTGAACCATGTAACTAAAAACAAGTAAATATATGCCAGGCTAACCTTGGGTATATATATGACATGTTACAGTATAAAACTCTGAATATGAAGGGAGGGAGGGAGATGGAAAGGAGAAGGGGGGGAAGGGCGGGAGGGAGGGATCCAGAGGTGAAGTTTGCATTTGTGAGCTATACTGCAGAGATCTGAAATATTCACTGACTTCCCAAGAGCCAAGTAATCACCTTCTAGTGGAAAGCAAATCTGCATGCATGCCTGGCTAGTAATATCTAATTTGCTCTTCAGTATAAGGAGTAAAAGCTGGCTTGCTGAAGAGTTGCATCAGGACTTCATAATCATTTTCCCACTTCAGTTTGTGGGCACTGTGCAGACAGTACGAGAGACAACTGACAGAGTGAGGCGCAGAAGAACAGACAGCAACATCAATTTATACCAAATACACAGAAACTATCATTAGCTGAAAACACTTCATCTAAACACTACTCAGGGGCTAGATGGGTGCTCTACGCCCCATAACTCTAGTACACCGGAGGCAGGGGCAAGAAGACATGAGTACAAGGCCAGCCTAGGCTACACAATGCATTTGAGGAATGTCTGAGCTACCCCAAACTCAAATAAAAAGAGACCCTACTGATGGCTGAGATGTGTGACTCTATGCTCAGCCATCCTGGCTGAGAATCCCAGAAACACAGGCTTTTCTCCAACATTGCATAATTTTCAACTTGACTGCATTGCCAGGAAGCAAAAGGTATTTTTTCCTCTAATACCATAAATAGTTTGTTTCTCAAACTGGTTCCAGGGAAAAGGGTGGAATGTCCCGGATCTGAACTCCTGACTAGTGCCAAAAAGTGCTGAAAGGCCTTCCAAAGACAATGGCCTAAGCATCAAGGCAAATCAGATTTTCTAGAAGTGGGAAATAAACATTCTTTAACTTAAAAAGATGTCTACAGAGCCAGTATGGCCTCAGCACTGGGTAGGCTGAGGCAGGAAGATTATGCATTTCAAGTTGGCCTGGGCTGTATAGTGAGACTTTGTCTCAGAAATCAAAATAAAGTAATTCCAGAAACTCATTTTCCAGGTTTAAATTTGTTTTTAGTTCACAGATTAAATATTACCACTATAGCTGCAAACAAGGTGTGTTGTGCTCATGACTCCAGGTTAAACTATCCCTGGGAGAAGACAGCCAGGCCTTGCTGGTCAGTCCTCAATGAATGGAAACAGCCAGGACAGTGAGGATAAACTGAGCCAAGACTTGGAGTAGTTATCATGTTAGTTTGTTATCTAATAAGATGTTAGTTAAAAGGCTACCCAGAATCCAGAGCTCAAATTCTTAGAAAATAAGGACTAAGAACCTAAATCCTTATTCTCTAAGAATTCAAGCTGGGGAATCTGTGTAACTGTGTACTTTCAGGTTCTGTTTTAAAGTCTCTCCATGTTTATTACCTTATTATAAAATGGGATAACAGCAATCTCCTATCTGCTATAACAATAGTATTCACCAACAATAAAGTCATATTAGGGAAAAAATAATTCAGGTGAACTATTTTAATTATCATTCTGTAACAGTTTTAAAAGATGTATTCTGAATCTACAAGTTCAGTATCCCATGTCTGAGACGCTTGGAACCAAAAGCCTCTCAGATTTGAGAGTTCATATTTTGGAATATTCGCATACATATGTTGATTTTATTAAAAACTTTTGTGTGTCTGTCTGTCTGATGTGTGCATTCCTCTCTCTCTATGTATGTTTGTGTGTGTGCATGCATGTGTGTGTGTGTGTGTGTGTGTGTGTGTGTGCGTGTGTGTGTGTGAGACCCTGCATACTGGGCACTTGCTACCTCGAGCCAGGATCTCTTACTTACTGCTGTGTATTGCGGTCTATTTGTGAGCTTTGGGGAACACTCCTGTCTGCCTCTCATTTAACCACAGTTGCAAGGGATTACCACACTTGGCTTTATGTAGGTTCTCAGGGTCTGAACTACCTCCTCTGGTTTGTGCAGCAAGTCTCACTGAACTCTCTCCAGCTCTTGAACAGTTCTCTAGACTTTTGGGTTAGGGATGCTCAACTGTTTCAGCACTGGATTGCTTGCAAGTGTTTTGTGCTGAATGTATAAACATAGTAATAGATAATGTCTATAAATATTACATACATATTTAAAAGTTCATCATATAAACAGTACAGGGAAAATGTAAAAAGTAAAATGATTTGTTCTGGTGACAAGGATGATTTAATGCTGTCATTTTACCCCCTGCTTTGTCCTTCACAGCATTTCTAGAATTTATTCTTAATAAGATAATAACGATTTTCACACTCATACAATTACCTCTGTTCCTCGGAGATCCTTGGGAAGATAGACCTCTTCGGTCATTTGAACACTTAGGCCAAAATCCACCAAAACAGCTTTTGTAGACATGAATACAATATTGCTAGCTGCAATGGGAAGGATTTTTAATGTGAGTTAATAGATCCTAATGCAACATGACAACATCATCTAGAAGAGTGAGCTCTAATCACAGCAGAATGAAATGCTTCTGGTAATCACACAGGCATATCACACCCAGAAGAGACATGCTGGTGAGAGGTCAGTTGAAAATCACTTGAGGCCTGTCAAGAGCCCATGCAGTGTGGGCTTATATGAGTACAGCCATTAGGAAAGCTCAAGGCTTGGGCTTCAAATTCTAAGACAAGCATCTACCATCAAGCCACTGTCGTTAAAAAAATAAATAAAAGTTAAAATTATTTTTTCTGATTAAAGTTGTGCTTGTCACTAGGTATTAAAGATTTATAGTGAGCCTGTTTTATTTCTATATAATATCTGAGTTCTAGCAATTTGTTTTTTAAGAGATTGTTTAATGAATTGTTACTAAATTATGGCTCAAAATTAAGATATTTGTTCCTCAAAAATATATGCCTACATGTTTGCAGTAAGTAATCTCCCTCTCGCCCACTCCCTCTGTGTGTGTGTGTGTGTGTGTGTGTGTGTGTGTGTGTGTGTGTGTGTGTCTGTATGGTGTGCATGTGTTTATTTGTATGGTGTGTATGTGTGTGGTTTGTGGCGTGTGTATGTGGTGGGGATCAAACCCTGGGCCTTGTGTGGGCTAAGCAGGAATTCTACCACTGAGCCATATTGTCAGTGTTGCATTATTGTTTTTAAAGCACTATACAAGGACAGAGGCAACACACCCAACAGATATGTGGTCGTATCCTCACTCCATTGTTTAGTCACCACCTTCCCTTCTGGCTGCTAACATTCTTAGTGACCAGGCTGCATTCTTTGAGCTCTTTCAGGGGCACAGAAAAGGAAGATGATCTGTTGTTTGTAGGGAGCTGTACTGCCTGCCACTGAGTGCCTTTGGATTAAAACATCTCACCTGTCTCCAATCCAGTGAGTCCCATTAAACCACAACAAGGTAGACACCACTACTCACGTTTAATATCATGGTGGATCACTCTCTTGGAGTGCAGGAAATCAAGTCCCTTGAGAACGTGCTTCGTCACCCAAATAATTTCAAATTCTCTCATGGGTCCACAGCTCTCCAGCTTCTCCAGAACAGACCCTCCCTCTCCTGCCTCCATGAAGAGATGGACAGTGTCACCCCACAGGATGGCGCCATATAATTCAGCAATGTTCTCATGCCGGAAGCAGGCCTGGATTTCCACATCCGATGGCTTAAACTGATCCACAGGGATCTAGCAACATAACACATGGTCAAGAGTCTAAACAACCTCAAGATGATAAAATAAACAATGCAGATCAACCCACAAACCGGAAGTCAAATTAAGACAAAGACACTTAAAAGGTATATGACAGGGCTCTGTGGTATCAAAAACTGTTTAGTATAGAGTTCCTTCTACATTATGTCATCTTTAGAGAGAAATCTTTTAAAAGATAAAAAAATAAGGTAGGGAAAAATTCATTTCATTTAGAGTTTTGAAATCCAAATGAAGTTTACAAGTATTGAATGAGCAGAGGATTTCCTATGGTCAATATACATCATCTTCACGGCCCCAGAACTCTGTGTTATTCAAAAATTTCACCTGATTGTGTGATGCTATGAAGTCATTAGTACCTAACATGAGGTCACAAGTTCCTTAGTTCACACTCTGACCACAGCTTTAAGGTAATGCCCACCCATCCCGATATCCCATGAAAACTTAGTCCTCTGTCAATAAGAGCTGTGATAAGAGGTAGTGTTCATAGAGCAGAGAGACTCTTTTATCTCCAAATACTGTGCCAGGGCAAAAGGTGGTATTATTCTGAAATGATGATGTGCACATATCTGGAAAACAAGAAGTTCCCAACAGTGGTCGTAGCAAGGAAGGGGGCCCCATTCATGAATCTCCATGCTTTTGAGCCTGTCTGGGATTTTTAATTGTATATTTGATTTTCTTAAGAAAAAATACTCTCCTTAAATATCTAAATATAACAAACACTAAAAGGGCAACAAAATCACAAAGCCAGTTTTCCATGCTTTTGTAGTAAAATTTTAAAAAAGGACACTGGGTCTCCAATTTTTAAAAAAGGACTCTAGATTACAGTTTGGATGGGCTGCCCTCGACAGAAGCTTCAAAAAGCTTTCTGTAAGTATTATTTTTCTTCTAATAATAGATTATCTAGTCAATCTTTTTGTGTGTGGTAGTATCTCACTATGCAACCTTGGCTGGCCTGGAACTCACGACATAGACCAAGCTGTCCTGGACTTCAGAGAGATCTACCTGCCTCTCCTCCCAAGTACTGGGTGGGACACATGGGGTGTCGCAAGGGTGCCCCATGACCACAGCCTCTATCTAGCATATGAATTTGTGGTCCTGTTTCTGCACTTAATATACATGGACCTCATGCAACAGATCTTATTTTGTGTCTAGCTGTATGAACTTCAGAGTTCTGAGACACATCCGCACTGCTTTAGCTGTGAGCCATCCAGCTGTAAGCCATCCATTCTCTTTGTGGCCTGATGTTCCATTGCAGGAGTGTCCACCTATTGGTATCTGGGAAGTTCTGAGAATGCTACTTCAGCAAACAGTGCTGAAATGAACAGCCCAGAATAGTCACACACATGGACACACCTCTCTGCTGGGTGTAACTAAGCAGTAAAGTTACTGGGTCACTCCAGATGTGTACATCTGAGCTGCCAGAGTCTGCCCAGCAGGCTTCTCACATCGCAGTCATTAAGAGATGGGGCCCTTTCAGTACTTGGTACATTTGAATTCAGCCCTATAAATCTGCAATCCCAAGCTCCAAGACACCTAAGTAGAGATACAGGAGGTCACAATCAAGATGTAAGAACTGAATTGTCCCAGGTCACCAGGCACGCCAGAAACGGCAGACACTTTGGGGCAGGAACCTTAAGTACAACCCAGTGTAAGGGTAGAGCCTTTGGTTATGGTAGATAACCCAAAGCCAGGAAGTCAGATACACAGCGTGGATGTACACACCAGTTTGCACGCCATTCTTTTCTTGGTCTTCATATCTTGTGCTAAGTACACTTTTCCAAAGGCCCCCCGAGGAACAAAACCAGAGCCGATGTTCCTGTAAGTCAGCTTCCAAGGAACGAGGAGGACATCCGAGTCAATTTGGTAGCGTCCGTTCTGGGGACTGATTACCTGCAAGGAGATACAGATGCTAAGGTAAAGTCCACTCCACAGAGGCTATTTTAGAAGCATCCAATGCAGTGGTGCTGTGTGTCATTCTGACATTACAGGCTATATTTAGAACTTGAGCAAGACAGAGAAAGCTTGTAACAGACACAAGTTCCTGGTCCAACCTGCTCATATTTCCAAATGCTTATGAGTAGTAAGCTGCCAAAGAGAAGCTGAAAATTTATTTATCTAGGGAGTCTGACGACTGTGACCCAAAGACTGCAAATATAGGATGCACTCGTGCCTGGAGGTTGACTTGTTTCTATTAAAATGCACTAACCTGTTTGTCTGCATAGCCATTACTCACACATGATGCACACACAGAGAGAGAGCGTGGAAATTAACTAGGGCCCAGGGAGGACTGTGGAGCCAATGTGCGATGCCTGAGTCGTGAGTTGACAATGCTGCATAAATAAGGAGGGACAGAGCTGTCCCTCTTTAGCTGTCTCTCACTTCATTGTGCAGTGCCTATTATGTGCCCTGGGATGGGCTTGGCACTGAGGAGGCAACCACAAGCAGAGAGACAGGAGGCTCCAGACTTCTAAAGGTTTGTGGGCAAAGATAACCTTTAGATCAGGTCTTTCAGAACCAGTGGGCTCCAGGCTGGAAGTGTGGCTCAGTGGTAGAGCACATGCCCAGTATGGACAAGGTCCTGGGACTGACGCCCAGCACTACATACATGAACGATAAACAAAACACGCTTCAACACAAAGAGAAAAACAAAACCAGCCAACTCAGGCATCAAGAACTATATCCTGAGAGCAATGTGGGATCAGAGGGTGGCACCCACTATGGTGGGACACTACAAAAATGCCAGCACTGGCGAGGCTGAGGCAAGAGAATGTTGAGGGCCCCGCCAGTCAGGGCCACATGGCAAGCCTGTCACAAAAACAATAAATAAACAAATAAAAGTGAATATCACAATTCAAATAAAATAGTATCCCATGGGAAACATGGCCTAGAACACATGCTGTAAAACATGTCTAAAGTGTTCTAAGAGATAGTCTCCCCAGATGCCAGCTGTTTCCTCAATGTGATAGTCCTGTTATGGCCTGAGATATCAACCCAGGACTTCTGATTGAAATAGTATTGAGCTACCTCAAGAGTTGAAGAGATGTGGAACCCCTAAGCCTATCCCATGGGAGAAGAACAAGCATCCAATCCTACTATGGGTGCATCTAAGCTTCCACTCACCATTATAGCCATAGGCCTGATGACCAAAGGGCTGAACACTCAACCTCCATCATTGCTAATTAGTTCTACGATCTACAGGAAAGGAAGTAAAGAATAGCCCAATACTTGGAAACACAAAAATCACTAAATCTGAAACTTAAATATGTACAGGGTGCCTTTGCTGAGGGGGGACCCCATACAGGTCCTTAAAGGAAGTAAATGGAAAACACTGTCCTGTCTCATTTAAAATAATGATGACCAACCAAATAAAAGTCACTTCCTGTCCCCGTAGACCTCATTTTGCACTGTGCTAAGGATAGTGTGATGGTGGGCTCTTCCATGTTTAGACAGAGCTATGGCCCTGGCAGCACTGGCTTGGGGTCCCTTTTCTTGTCATTCACAGAATAACTCTAGTGAACCATCTCATGAACCCATGTTCATGAAAGTTTGGCTTTTGACCAAACTAAGTGTGTGAGGACCCATCTCCACCCCCTTATACTATGCAAGAGGACAGAGGGAAGGAACAGCCACCACACTGAGAGCTAATTAGGGACCAGGTGCAGTGCTGTTGCTTTGCATTATCTCATTAAAGTCTACGGCCATCCTGAGCTAGGCTCTATTTTTATTTCCATTTCATAGCCGAGGCTGGCTTCCAGGGGTGAAGCAACTCTCTAATCAGTGCCAGAATTAGGATTTGCACTCAGGTCTGCCCAACCCCAAAGCCAGAGCTCCCCCTCTTTGTGTAAGAGCCTTTGGGGTTCCAGAAGGCTGTAATTAAAGCCATGCTAGGGTGCAGGCTCAGTTGTTCAAAGCCTCTGGAACGCACTCACTGGGTGAGGCCCAAGACAGTGTGCAATTCACAGAGGTCTGGCTCTTTCCCTAATACCAGGTCTTCACTGCTTGAATTTGACCTGCGTTTTTATCTTTAACTTCCTCTTTTCTGGGGTCCCCTCTAAGCAATCTTGTAGAACCCTGTGCTGTTTATTTCTGTCAATTCTCCAACTTATTGAAGTCACTTTCAAGGGCAGACACTAGACATAAGCTTTCTATTCCCTCATACAAATTACTGTTATCTGTACTAAACAATACAGGGGACAGTACTTGGGAAATTCCTTAGGTATTTTATTGAGTGAGCTGTGTAACCTGGTTCCTATGAAGCGAAGTGATCTTCAGCTACATGCATGGAAACAGATTATCTAAAAACAAAGACAAAGCTATGTCTCTCCTACCCTCCTGGTGACATAAGTGGAATCTATGTTCAGGTTCCTATTGGTAAGGCAGGTAGTAAGGGTTTCCATCTCAAAGGCAAATGGCATACCAAGTTCTTAATTCAGAACTCTAAGGTATCACCACTACTCATCATATACACTTACTAGGGATGGGAGTGGGGCAGTCAGAGATGGATTTGGTTGTATATAAGAAGAAACTTCCTTATGGTCAGAATTTGACAGTGAGGCACTGGATGCAGGGTGGGAATGGCTCTTGCTAATGGGTCTGGAGGAACAAACCAGAATGTTCTACCCAGTATTATGAATTGCCTGGTTCAAACATCAGATGGAGAAGGCTGGACTCTTGAATTTGAGAAACTGTGACTCCATGTCTAAACCCTGAGGATCATCATTCCAAATAACACACCAGCATGTATAGTGAACAGATCCAAGGTGGGGGTATTCAGATCCACATACAACCACCAGAGTTGAATGCTTGGGGACTGTTTTATAATTCTATCCAGATTATGTATAAGCTGGTTATAAATAACTTTGCAGTGACATAAAGTAAATAGTTCCTAGGTGAGTCTCCTGGAATTCTTTCCTTGGATTTTGTTGGATACTAGTAGAATACTTAACATATATTATTTTAAGGGAAATAGCACATACATAAATACACACCCAGGGAGAACCCATCCAATATGCCCATGCTTTGGGATATTGCTTTAATCTGTAGTTGTCCACCCTGTCTAATTAACTTTGCAGCACCATGGGTGTTGGCTGCCTCTACACATCAGGTCTCTATGCCTCTGAGCCTTTGCATTTGTTGTCTCTTCACCAAAAACAATCTTCACTTCATGTAGCTCCAACTTGTTGTTTGTATCTCGGTATAGGTACCAAGTCTGGGAAGCCTGTGCGGATATCCTCCTTTTCCCTTCCCTTCCTCACACTCATGGGTGTGAGAAATCTTGCCTAAGCATCCCCAAGGCTGTCAGGGTGTAGATATATTGTGGCTGAGCACACCATGCTATGTTACCTGTTCACTTGCTTCCTATACACACTAGGCATTGAGCTCCCTGTGGCACAGACTACTCAGAACTCTTATCTAGCACCTGGAATAGCCTGATACACTGTAGCTGTCCCAGCTAGGTCTAGCAAATGAACAAAGGAATATTTGAATAAAGGCTTCTATCCCTATGTAGGAAGCTTTTACGGATATATTTTACTAAGGACCCAATCTAGGTGGCAGTTAATTCTCTAATGCAGAGAAAGCAAGAACAGCAAAGCTACACAAAGCTAGCAACGCAACTACACAGCTTTGCCAAGTATGTAGATGGAGGATGAGAAGAGAAAGGTCTTGACTACAGGATAGATGGGTTCACAGAAACACCATGCCAGAATCAATGATATTACATGCAAATCATGTGTCAGACTGGCTCTGACCAAAGACCAATGCATAGGCCATCACTTATAAAGCACTGAGCTGTGGCAGATTACCACCAGCTTTAGAGAACAGTTTCATTTTTAATGCCGGTGACAGGAAAGTTAAACACAGTCCCAGAGGCACAGCCCCAGGCCTAATGGGGTCAGATCCATGTGCCTGTGGGCTATAATTCCATTCTGTTTCCTATCATTCCTTTCATTTTGGCCTTCTTGCTTTATATTTTATATTCTTCAGCATTAAAAAAAATACAAGTGCCTATTAAGATTCTTAAGATTCCTTTATGGTATCTTTGATTCCTACATTTTCTTTTTAGTTAATTTGCTCATTTATTGAGCATGGGCTCTTTGGCAGGGAATGACAGACAATACTTCACTGACCAAATTTTTACTTCCTTCTAATGACTGTGGTTTCCAGCCCTTTCTGCATTAGCTCTCCTGGCTCTACTCCTAAACCAATGTAAGAAGCTATTTTTTTGGTGGTGTTCTTTAAAATTTCCTAGCATTCCCTTGTGTATACGGACGATGGTCCATCTCTCCTCAGTGAGGGTGAGCACACTTAAGTTTCTCTATATTTACAAGCAAGGACGACTAGTTTATTCTGCTTGTCTTTATTTATCAAATATGTAAAACAATGGAAGAAATACATCAGCACTGAATTTGTCACTGTCCACATGTGTGTTACTTTAAAGCATACTCCTCTAGTTTTACTCTGGCTGAGGAAACCAGGTATGGCTCCTGCTTCAAATGATGAATTCCCATTTATAAAATGAAGTCATACTCTAAAGACTGCTTTAGTTCACTGCTAAATGTAGCGTGGTAGATCCACACCAAAGGAAGTCAGTCACGCCCTGATGCCGAACGGTGAGCTTGCTTAGTACTGAGCCAAACACAATTGACTGGTAACAAAACAACTCACTACATAGCTGACCTAAATTACTGTGCTGTTTTTCATCAAATAAATGTGGGACGATTAAAAAATTATCATTGTTATTATTTCCTTTGTCCCAACTCGGGCTCTTCAGCAACAGCTCCCCCAGCATGGGTCACACTGCCATTCGTACACACCAAGGGAAAGAGAGCTGCCTCTATCAACAGACATGTTTGTGACTCACCAACGACTCTTTTGCAAGCTGTCCTTTTTACAGAATTAAATCGCCTTTTAACCATCGCCCACGTGTTCACCTCTAACACACTAGGGACATGACAGAATGCCAGGCACACCTAAATGCTCCACCTGACCAACTCTTGCGGCAACAAAGAGTCGTCACAATATTTTGGACTATCTGCATATTTGAGATGACTAAGTAACTCTGTCACTTGTGGTGCATTGCCACTTACAGAGAGTGAATCTGCAGATAGTTATTTGCTACCTATCAGCTGCATTTCTACAGGAACCAAATTTAGCCAAATGGGATGAAAGGAGAAAATAATTTAGTTTTCAGCATTATTAAGACAGCATTTATTCGTCTCTTGGCTGGTGGGCTCCCATTAAGACCCTCTCTTTTGTGTGTATAATGAATCAGCCTTTAAGTGAATTGTTAAAATACATCTGTAAGGGCTGGGGTGTAGTTCAGGGGTGCAGTGCTTACCTAGCATGCCCTACCCCTGAAAACACTAAGTATATTCTTCATAGAATTACTACTAAATTATGGGTTTCTGAAATGGAGCTTGTGTGAAGATTTCCTTCTCGTTTTTTAACACAGAGGGGATTCTTACCAATAAATATATTCCTTAAAACTTGTACCATGGCAGCCATTCTAAACCATGTTCAATGCCACTCTGCATTCAGTGAAGCCATACCAGTAAAGCTGAACACACAGCACTCAACTGTCCAGAAGAAACATACCATATTTAATAAAATCCCAGATTCTTGAGGTCGACGTCCATAAAAATGTTTTCCAGTATTAGATATATGGTTTGCAAATGCAAGCAGATCCTCAACGGTCCCATATCTGACAGATGACAGCCAGGGCACCTCCGGGCCACTCCGAAGCAGCGACTCTGAGTGCTCCTTGTTTTGATTACTGTCTGGACACATGGTCATCAGGCTGGGCTCGTAGACTGCTGGCTCTTCACTGGCGTAAAGGTTTTCCATTATGCCTATGACTTCCGACACATTTAAATGCTTAATTAATAAATCAATCTCTTCTTTCTCGTCACTTCCAGTGCTCATGTACTCCATCCCTGTGGTGCCTGCTGCGGAGTCTACAAAAGAAAGACAAACACTTCCTTCACTATGGTGTGTCTAAACTGGAGACCGAAGAGTCTGGGGATCTGCTCCTCTGCACCTCTCTTCTTTATTCAAGTGGGCAGTGCCAAGTTCAAAGGGAACTTAGATAATCTTTAGCCCAGCTCACTTTGCAGGGGGAAACCTGAGATGCAGAGCACTTGCAAGTTACTTACTGTGGCATCAGCTCCAGCTACTGAACACAAACTTTCACTAAACACAAACACAGTGAAGAGCGGTCCAGGGTTCTCCGAAGACTAAGACTCCTCCTTCTTATAACTATTGACCTTGCACAACTTCAGTGTCCCCCCAGAAAGATCACAGTGGCTTTGAGGAAAAATGACTTGAAAGAAAAAGAACTACTTGACTAAAATTCAGGAACTAACCTGGCAAATACGCCAAGTCCCAAGAGAGAAGAAGGCATGTAAAACAGAAGTTAAGTTTGAGGGGAAAATCTAGTGGGGATAGATTAAACAGCTCTTTAGAAAGGAGCAGGGACCTGGGATCTTAATGTGCCAAAGATAAACAAGGATGAGAGAGGTGACTCATCTGTCAACCTGTGAGTCACAGCTCCCTTCTGACACCTGAAATCCTTTAGTAACACAAAGCACTCATCTTGAGGGTCCCAGAAAGCTAACACCTAGATCAACTGGCCTGGAGAAACTCTAGTAGAAGAAAGAAGAAGAAAGAAGTCAGGAAAGCCAAATCTGTTATAAGCAAGCCACGGGTGAAGATCAGCTGACTTCACTAGCCAAGGTGACATTTTGGTCCCACACCATCAGGCACCACACTTAGGAAATGTGGGTGACAAAAGAAGGCAAACACAGTAATAAAAAGTGACACTGTTCCCCCTGGGTCTTAAGATAACTCAGCTCTACTACAAAGGAGAAAAGATAAGAGCAGCTAAGAGATCTAAGACAATTTCAAAGCCTGTCTGACTTAAACCACTCTGCTCTAGAAAGCATAGCCTCTCTGGAAGACACTTCAGGTGTTTGGCATGTATCACAGTGCTGTGGTATGGACACAGGCGGCTCCCTAGAGCTCACCAGCTAGCAACTCCAGCTGAACCCATAAGCTCTTGGTTTAGTGAAAGGCCTGCCTCAAAAAGTAAGGTGAGAAAGACACCCAATATTGACTTCTAACTTCACACGCACCAGCACATCCATGCACTGTGCATGTACACCTGCATGATATGTATACACAAACATGTATACTTACATACATTACACCAAGACACATACACAAAGTAACAAGATACCATTCTGCCAAAGCCATGCACCTGTGTCAACTTGGAGCTTCAGTTGAAAGATTCTGGAAACTTCCACCCAGGGCCACCTGCACACATGACCAAGTCATGTGCCTCTGATTTACAAACTGCTTCAGAGGAAAGCATCTAGCATCAAGGCCACATTAAGAATTCCTCTCCTTATGGCCAAGTTTCACCATCAACCTCATTGCCCATGAGATGTTGGGCAAGTACTCAAGCTCTCTGTACCTTGATTCCCCCCCAACTGCAAAGTAGAGATAATAACAGCACCTACCATCCAATTTAAGAAGCTCGTGTGCACAAGGTACCCAAGTCTGGTACGTAGTAAGTAAAGCTGTGCCAAGTACTGAGATGTGTACCTAGCTCAGCAAACACCATGCCAGCCTCCTTTCTCATCTGGAAGTGGGATTTGTCTGCCTATTCCCCAGACTTCTCCTTGGCAAGCTTTTAAAGACTGTCTCTATGCTGAAACAAAGGTGAGGGGAGCCCAACCCAAGAAGTATATTGACGCTTGCTACCAGCGCACGTAAATCTGGACAACGGTCCAGACAGTACCGTCTGAAACATCTCACACATCCTTGAGAGGGATTGTGATTCAAGTCCCTAGCTTGTCAAGAGACACAGAGAGCTCTGTAAGCTGATAGGAGAACCTTTGACCTCAGCTTCACAGAGCTATCGGTTGCAGTTTCTATCACTGTAGAATTTACTAGGAAAACAGAAGTTAAACGTGGTTGACTTTAGGGCCCCTTGAGTAAAGGGAAGACCCAAGGCTCCCAGACTGAATTATCAAATAAATAACCAAACAGAAAATAAAGTTCTTGACTCAAGAAAGGGGGGGTGGCAAACAGTTCCAAGTCACTGCACTGTTTTAGAAAGGAAAACCAGTTGGAGGTTTTAATCCTGCAGAAAATCTGCTCTTTTCATAGGCCTAAGAAACCACACACACACACACACACACACACACACACACAGATGAGACGGAGAGGAGAGACATAGGGAGATGGAGGAGTATTTAACTTTCTATAGGGCTTGCTCAATTCCTAAGAGGCTCTTGTCACAGAGATCTGCTGCCCAGCAACCCAGATGCACCAACAGCCTGGAGAACATGAAAAGGCCCTGAACCCTCTTGCCTCAACTAAACAGACCATATACTAGGATCTCTGGCCACACAAGGCCAGAGCCCCTTTCTGTGCATGGTGAAGGCATTCCATTTTACTGACAAACATGCTCAGCTTAAAGTGACTGATCCTGGACTCAGGCATAACAATCCTCATCATAAAATCCACACCTCCTAGCAGATCAGAGAGTTAGGACAGTTTTAGAGGCACTTGTTGCAAATGCAGTCGAAGATTAGTTTTTGTAATTAAGCGTCAAAGCACTGATTAGAAATTAACTTAGAATTATTTCAGAAAGCAGCTATAAAAATCAAGAACAGGAATGTGAGCTGTTCAGCTGCTTCCATCCACAGAAACAAACCTTTCCAGCAAGTGAATGCAGACTACAGTCTTGATATTCTGCCTGGCATTGGGGGTTGTGGTGGTACTTCCCATTTTTAAAAGGATTTTCCCCCACTAAAACAACCCATTACTCCTCGGAATACACTTCTTAACATATTTTTCTTTTGCAAAAGTCCCAGAAAGACACTTTCCAGCCCTGTAGAATCAAATCCACTTCAACACTTACAGAAGTTTTGAATCCTGTTCCTATTCTCTTATAGGACACTCTTTAAGAACCAATACACACTAACCTTGATACAGCAGAGTTGGACGCCTAAGCAGAAGGCCTTATAATGAATGCTAAACAAGTATGTTGGCTGTTTTTTTTTTTTTTTACTTGTTTGTTTTCAATCAAAATCCGATTCCCCTCCCCAGACCCAAATATGTTTTTCCACATATGTTTCCCTCCCGGTCCACCTGGTCCCTTAAGATAACAGAGTCTTAAGGCGGTTGCATATAGTAAAAGTGCCCAGCGACAGAGCAATGGTAGTTGAGGTCCTTCAGCCTCCAAGTTGCACTCACCCAGGCTCAGCAACCAGAGTGCAGCTGTCCAGGCAGCGTCCCCCGCAGGAGACGCTGTGAGCGCGGGTCCTCACTTCCCCCGCCACAGCCCAAGCCGGCACTGACTGGTCACCCGGGATCCGGGAAGAAGGAGGAAGGGGGAGGAGCCGTGAGTCCACACCTCCCAGCGGCCTTGCGCAAGGTGCTTTCCAGCTCTACCTGCGTGCAGCAGACCACCCGAGGCTCCCCGAATGGGAGGCACGCTCCGTTTCAGAGTGGGAACCCCCGAAATAAACCCAAGGCACCCCAATCCCTGTTACCTGAGTGTTCCGCGTGCTAGCCCGGAGCTCGGGCTCAGTAGGCAGTGAGAGGCTCGCCTGCGAGAACCAGGCGTGCGGGAGTCCCGAGGGCGGGCGGCGGACGCCGGAGATGGGCGGTCGGCCGCGGGAGGACCGTGCGCTGCGGACCCCTGACTCTCCGCGTCTGAGCCGGCCCCGGGGCGGTGCAGCAGACGCCAGCCTTCTCCCCGCCTTTTCCATTTCCCCTTTCTCTCCGTAAACAGAAAGGGCCTGCCGGCTGCCCGAGAACACGGGAGCCCCCGCGCTGGGAAATTCCGTCCTCCCACCCTTGGGCCCCGGGGCGCGGGGTGGAGATGGAGGCGGGACCGGGCGGAGCACCCGTGGGGATCCACCCCGCCCGGGATGTCTGTGCCCAACCTGAGTCCAGAGAGCTTGCGGTTCCAGACCCTCCCCCGACCCGCCCCGAGGCACTCTCATAGTCTCCGCGGGAGGCTTGAGAGCTGTCTGACTGCGAGTAACCTGGACCGGTCTCGCCCGGATTCGGTTGAGACGTACAGGGAGTCAAGCCCGCAAACTCCGACTCCCCGCTGCGCTTTAAAGTTTCGGCGAAAGTCGCCTTCGCTGTTCTCTGCCAGCACAACTAGTTTTGATCTTTGGTCTAATGAAAGCGGTTGTTTGGTGCCACCGCTCTAGTGTGACAGTTGCCTGCTAGGATCCATCTGACCCTTCTTAGCTCCTGGTAATAACGTAGGGGCCTGCTCCTTTGTTGGAAAGTTTAATGAAGGTAAAGCTCAAAGACATTTTTCTAGGAGAAAAGCGCCAAGAACTCCACCCCACCACCGCTTATCCTTCTCCTCCCTCCAAATTCCCCAAGCATCAACAACCTATTAGGATCTGAGTGCTTTGCAAGATCCCGGAGAACAAGAGGAAAGGTCATGTTGACATTATCTCCATCCCACCGATGGGATTTGGGGGTCCCAGGCCGAGCTATGAAGCCAGCACCCCTATGGCCGAGTTGCTCGTTTGTTTTTTGCAGTCCCCAGGCTCATCCGCCCTCACCAAGTTCAAAGCACCCCTTAAATGGATCTCTCCACATTTCTTCCGTGGAAAGTGAATTGCTCTTTCAACGACGTCCGAAGATCTACTGGTAGAGGTAGGACAGGAAGCTGGGGTGAGGAATAGCGCCCGCGTTACAGATCCTCAAAGGTCATACGAGCAAGAATAGATTATATCGAGAGGAAAGCAGACTGGTCATCTGCAGGTTTGGTGGTTTTTGTTTTTGTTTTTTTAACGTGAGAACACTCTCTGTGTGCTGTGATTGAGTAAGGCAGGGCATCACTTTGGTGGTTACAGGAACCTCTCTGTAGCTCCCTTTCTCGATGCCTTGGCCTTTCTGATCTCACAGAGAGCAAGCCATCATAGTCTGCACCAGTCAAGGAGCCTGTACCCGGCTGTTCTAACGCCTAACTCCAAGGATTTTAGCACTGGCGAGAGAGCTGATCATTCCGTCTCGGTTGAAACTAAAGTACTGCTACCCTTTCGTTTTTCTGCGGAAACCCAGATTAGTACAGAGGTTGCCTCTACCTGCTGCGTGAGATTCGTCTCCCCCGTGCCTGCGGTCTTTGGTAATAAGGGATGGGCTTATAAACACTTTAAAAATAGAACCATGGAACCACGCCCCGCCCCGCCCCCTTGAATGAGCTCATTACACCACATGTAATCTGGGAAGTAAGCCTCGGATTTCCCTAAAGAAGTCTCCCCAAAACAGCTGTGCTTTGATGAATTGAATGTCCCTGCCTTAAGCAGTAGCTGATTTTAAATTGTGGGGTGAATTAGAAAACTTACTTTCAAGCATTTTATGTTTTGTTTTTTGAGACAGGGTTTTTCTCTGTGTAGTCCTGGCTGTCCTGGAACTCTGTAGCTTAAGATAGCCTCTTATTTGAGACCCACCTGTCTCTGCCTACTGAGTGCTAGGGTTAAAGGCATGCATCTCTGTGCCCGGCAACTTTCAGACATTTTTTTTTTAAGTCTAACGCAGCATTGACTTTTGCATCCCTAAACCAGACCGAAAAGAGAATGCAACCGCAAAGACGTGTGCTCACTCTTTTATTAGATTTACTTTAAGGCACATGCTAGCAAAGCTCGTGTGTGTGTGTGTGTGCGTAGCTGTGTCTACAAGTATCTGGGACTATAGGTGTGCACCATCATACAGGGCTAAACAACTTTTAAACTTTCCAGATGAGAAGTCAGAGTATGGAGAACCACTGGCTAGGGTTTGGAGGAATTGGTTTTATTTTATGTATGTTCATATGCATGTTAGCTTATAATTCACTATTGTAGTCCAAGCTGACATTGGATTCTTGTGGGATACATCTGTCTTTACCTCCCAAATACTGGGATTCCAGTTCTTTGCAATGGTTTCTACAGTGACCAAATTCACTTACAAATTGGATTGCAACCAGTTGCAATTTACCTAGAGCTTTTTTTCCCCTCAGGTTGGGACAACATTGAGTTTAGAATCTGTAGTTAGAAAATCTGAATTTGTTTTTGCTTACTTACTCATTCAGGAAAGAAAATTGTTAACAAATAACCTGACAGTCCACTGACCCATGTAACTGGAAATATGTCTGTGTTTTGGTATATGCATTGACAGATATTGTTTTCCAATCTTTACCATCTGTATAAAATATAGCCAGGCGTGGTGTGGTGGCACACATCTGTAACTTTAGTCCTAGGGAGGTTGAGGAAGATTAAATGTTCAAATGTCAAGGACTGGAAACACAGCTTCGCAGTTAAGAATGCTTGCTGTTCGTGTAGAAGACCTAAAGTGGATTCTTAACACACACAAGTAGCTTACAACCATTTACAGGATATCCAGCACCTCTCCTGGCCTCTGCAGGCATTGTAAACACACACACACACACACACACACACACACACACACACACACACACGGGGGGGGGAGTGAGACAGAGACAGAGACAGACAGAGAGACCAACACACATGCATATAATTACAATTTAAAAAAATAATCTTTTTTTAAAGTGCAATACCATCCTGGGTTATATAGCAAGATTCCATCTCAAAAGGGCAAAAATAAAATAAAATGCAGACTTTTTTGAGCAAAATAAACTAGAATAAATTGGAAGATGATTATATTCACTCTATAAAAATGGTTCAGTATTCAATATTTAAGACTATGACAAAAACAGAAAGTATTGAGGAAAGAAAACTAAATGTTCCATTTTAAGAATGCGTTGAATAAGATATGCTTTAGATAAAGAGGAAGTTGAGCTTAATTTGTGAGTACAACTTTTTTTCTAGGTTGTTCTATGTTGAAGCAGTTGCATTTGTTACTAGGATATTCCAGGAATGATCTTTTCGAACTTCAGACAAGAATCATCGGTAAGAAACTATGCACATATACAGGTAATAAATATAAAACTATTATCTTATTTAAATTATTTAAACAGTTGAACCTGAATTTTAAAAATCCATTAGCTTCTTCCTTTTTCTTTCATTAACATTAAATTTCTTGTAATCATGTGTGAATTCAACTATGAAGAACTGTTTCATCTTTAGTGTTTCAGCATAACAAGCTCTTTCATGCAGAACACATAGGTTTTGTCAGAGCAGATAGCTAGGATACCCTAAAAGGCAACCCCAAGGATGGAATATCCTCTAGGTACCAGCTAAGTGTCAAGGCTTTCTGCTCTGTACCCCACCCTCATTTTTAGCCATAGTCCTCTAGCACTGAAAATATTTTCTTTCTCTAGCACACTGTCTCCTTTTCATCACCACAAGTGTATTCTGCTACTGCTGGTTAATAAAACATCTATTCAATCACACTCTGCATCTTAGGGTGGACCAAGGATGCTCATCAGACTTATGTGAGCCACAGCGTGTATCGTAGATTCTACTCTGCCCCTGAAATTCACTGAGACTTTTCAAATGCTACCAGAAAGGGGAAAGGTCCCAGAGCTTCAGCCCTCACCTGTACCCCTTTGGGGATGAAAAAGTGAGTCTATATGGCAACAGCCATAGCTCGTAAGCCAGCGAGGCTTTGTTCTCTTTCAGACCTGCCCTGAAACTGACTGTAGCAGAGGAGAGCAAATGAGGATGGAAAGGACAGTCCCCTCTGGCCGCCTTCTTTTGACTTTTCCTCCACGAACTCGTCAGCTTTTGACATCAGCCTGTAGAGTTGGAAGACCACTGAAAGGGGGACTCCGGGCCTCATCGGAGATGGATTCTTGAGGTTGGGGGAGTCCTGAGGGGCAGCCATAGGAAGGGAAGGGGGTTCCCTGAATGTGCTCAGGCGTGGCTGTTGTCTAGCTACGAAGGCTGTGCGTGAACTCGGCCTGTGTGTGAGCAGAGACCACCTGTTAGGTGCAGAAAGCTAACACTTAGGATTTAATTCTAATTTTACTTGTTGGCTGTTGCAACTTCCCCAAATGTGAGCTCCTTTGGCCATACTTGGAAAACAGAAACTATTGCTTTGGGCTTCTTCATTCACCCTCCAAAATGGAAAGCTCTTGCACAGTGTTTCTTAGTAATGGCCTTCTAAAACGACCACAGAGTGCAGGGTGTCCCCCAGGACTGTAGAAGGCTCTGTCCTCAGATGCTGCATCTGCTTTATTAGTCAGACTTTGAGAGGGGTGGAGGACAGCAGTAGTGATCCTCCTAAGGTCTGGAGCTAGGGTATACAGAAGCCCCCCCTTGGATTTGAGGAGAGTCAGTACCAGCAGTCATTCCTGCCTCCTACCTCCCCCTTTCCTCCTAACCACACAGCCTTCTCTTCTCCGAGTGTGTACACTGCAAGGGATACACACATGGAGCAGTGTCCATCTTGCAAGGGACCTGGTGTCCATGCACTGTTTGGGTACGGGGAGGAACTGGCTAAAGGACTGTAAACAGCCTGGCCCTGCTCCCGTATATGGAAGCATAAATGGTCAGTGAAGAAAAAAACTATTCTTTCCTTCAAAAAAAAAAAAAAGACATGTTAAGCCCCCATCAAAATGATGTTCTTTTGTGCAATGTGAGAAGAAACCTTTGTGATTGTTTCTACAGAGTTTTATGTGCTTAGCCTTTTTGGGTTTGGGCTTTTTTTTAAAATTTATGTGGGGATGTTGCTTTACCCGCACCATGTGTGTAGTACCTGAGGAGGCCAGCAGAGGGTACTGGGTCCTGGAACTGAAGTTGCCTGTGATTGTGAGTCACCCTGTGTCCTAGGAATCAAGCCCAGGTCCTTTAGACCACTGACTGAGCCATCTCTCCAGCCCCGGCTGCTTTGTAAACCAAGTGAGTGAGGTTTTAAAAAAAAGAACAAAATGCTCCGTCTTTTCCTTTCCTACTACATTTTGTGTCACTACATCACAGTCCCAGAGAGTGGGTAATTTGCAAAAATACT